TAAGCCTGCTCCAGGAATAACATGTCCCAGGTGTATCAACTAGAGTGTTTTTTCCCAGCCCTAGAGATACTGAAATCGGCTCCCTATTCAATAGACACAAGAAATAGGGATGGAGGAGCATAAACATAGAATAACACAGTCTGTCACCTTTAGGAACACACACACCGGAGGCTCTGACAGAATGTTGTAGGAGGATGACAGCTCTGATGACAAGAAGGGTGGGGACTTGTGTCCTGAGACCTTTGGCCATCTGCAGGAGCTGCAGCAAGAGCCTGCCCCTTTTCCTGCCCCAGAGGGCCAGTGTCACTTGATGATGGTCAGTGGCATCTGTGACATGAACATCTGATTTCTGCTGGGTTTCTAGTTTCCGTTTGCAGCCTCAGCTGGTTCTTTTGCCTCTTACATGACTCCAGTTTGCATGGGCACAAGGTTGGATGAACTTGGCTTGGAGGAATAAGGCAGCTCTACACCACCCAGTGAGGGGTGGTGATAGCATGTGTTCAGTGAATGACCAGAAGGTCCAGTCTCCAGCTAGACTACTCTCTAGTCTTTGAGACCAGTTATCAAATTCAAAACAAAAAGGTGTCAACCAGAGCTTCCAACTCCTCCATTCTCATTTTTCTCTCTCAGGAAAAAAGAAAGGAGAATTCAATTTATCCCAAGGAGACATTGTTTCTTCAAAATGTGGGCCAGCCCACTCCAGGGGAGGGGGCACCCTAGCTTTCCCCGTGTACATGCACAGCCATGTGCTCCGAGCATCCTTGAACTGCTGATACATCTCTTCCTGTGAGTTATAAAACCCATAAGGTGCCTGGTAGGAGAGCTTCTGTGATTTATAGAAGAGCTGATGAGTAAAGATTCACACTGTGTCTCTGAGTGTCCCATGCAGTTAACAATAAAAGAGGCTTACAGAGTATTAGGACATTAGAGATTCATGCAGGGCTCCCCCACGAGGCACCTCATTACTGCGAGTCGGGATTGACCCGGCCCTTTGCTGAGCCAGACACTCGGAGGGTTTACACTTCACCAGCCTGAGTGGTTTGCACACAGACCTTCCCAGGCCCCATGGAGTCCTGTCCACTCCAAAGGCAAACTGCTTTAGAAGCACAATGACAAAGGACAGCAGAGCCTCAACAGACTTGGAAGAACAGCAGAGGGAAGAGGAAGGCAGATGTCAGGAGCGAGTAAAGGCAAGTGGAATCAGAGAAGTACTACTTCTGGGTTTTATCCACATTGAGAAGGTGAGAAAGACCTTCAGTAATAACACACACATACACATGCACATGCACATACACACACACATACACACATACACATTGTGAATTAGATGTATTTTTATTTTTCACAAGGAAATTGGAGATTCCGTTTCACTAATCTTGCAGGGTAGTGATTAAAAGTATTCTAGTCTGAAGCAGGCCTGTGATCCTATGTTCACTCCATCACTTACTAGAAATATGATCTTGGACAAGTTACTTGACCTCCCTAAACTTTGATTCCATCAGTTATAATACGGTATGAGTTGCAATACTTAAGGATACTATGGGCAGAATATTGAATGGTCCAGAAAGCAGCAAAAGACGATGGAAGGAGTACACAAAGTCACTGTAACAAAAAGAACTGGCTGACACAGAAGTAGTTCATGAAACAACATATGTTTAAGAGGCAATGATGATGGAGGAAGCTCAAGTTGCACTGAAGGAATTGGCAAAAAACAAGACCCCAGGAATTGATGGAATATCAATTGACATAGTTCAACAAACAGATGCAGCCCTGAAGTGCTCACCAAGAAATCTGGAGGACAAACACTTGGCCAACTGACTGGATGAGATCCATATTTACTCCTATTTTTTTTTTAAAAAGTGATCTAAACAGAGTATAGAAATTATAGAATTATATCACTAATATCACATGCAGGCAAAATCCTGCTGAAGATTATCCAAAATCAACTGTAACAGTACATTGACAGAGAACTACCGGAAATACAAGCAGGGTTTAAAAGAGATCATGACACTAGTAACATTATCACCAATATCAGATGGATCTTGGCTGAAAGAAGAAAGTACAAGAGGGATGTCTATCTGTGTTTCATTGACTATGCAAAGGCATTTGACTGTGTGGACCGCAAATTGTGTCTAACCTTGAGAAGGGTGGGAATCCTAGAACACCTGATTGTACTCATGCAAAACCTGTACTTGGACCAGGAGACAGTCATCAGAACAGAGCAAGGAAACACTGCATGGTTCAAAACCAGAAAAGGAGTATGCCAGGTATGTGTCCTGTCTCCATATCTTTTCAATATATATGCAGAACAGATAATTCAAAAGGCTGGACTTTATGAGGAGGAATGTGGCATCAGGATTGGAGGAAGACTCATCAACAACCTGTATTATGGAAATGATACAGCCTTATCTTAGCTAAAACTGAGGAGATCCTGAAGCATTTGCTGCAGAGGATCAAGGACTGTAGTTTGCAAAATGGATTAAAGCTCAACATTAAGAAAGCAAAGATTCTCACTACTGGGCCCATTGCTAGCACCGTGATATATGGAGAGGAGATTGAGATTGTTACCAATTTCAGCTTGCTCACTTCCACAATTAACACTCTTGGCACCAGCAGTGAAGAAATCAAAAGATTAATTGCATTAGAAAAATCTGCTGTCAGGGCCCTCTCCAGAGTGCTGAAGAGCAAGGTTGTCAATCTAGAAATCTAGAGACTAAGTTGCTCCTGATCCACGCCATGGTCTTTGTAGTTATTTGCTATACATCAAAGAGCTAAACAATGACAAAGACAGAAGAATTTATGCCTTTGAATGGAATTGAACATACCATGGACCATCAAGAGGACAAACAGGTCTGTCCTGGAGGGTGAAACCAAGTTCCTCCTTGGAGGCAAGGATTTTGAGACTCTGTCTTACATACTTTGGACATGTAGCTATGAGGGTATCAGTCTTTGGAGAAGGGTCGAGGGACAGCGCAGGAGAGGAAAACGCTGCATGAGGTGGATTCGCACAATAACTGGGGTGGTAGATGTGTCAGAGGCAGTGAGGCTGAGGATAGAGCAGGGGTCAGAGCTATTGTGCATCAGGTTGCTATAGTAGTTGACTCAACAGCACACAACAATAACAACAGTGCCATCTATTTCCTTGGGTTGTGAGACCTAAATCATGGATGCTATGCAGTTTTGAGCAAGTTGTGTTTTTCTGTGTCATGGAGTCAAAACCAACCCCAGCTGATTCTCCAGCAGGTTTTCAGAGGCAGGAAATAGCAGTGAAGGAGTTTGTCCATCCTGCTTCCATGGAGCAGCTGGTGGATTCAAACCACTTGCCTTTGGGATTGCAGCACCACTTCCTACCACTAGGCCAGAAGATCTCCCTTTTGAGCAAGTGGTTTCACCAATTGTGGGAGATTCCTCTCTACTCACTTGAATATTTTCTTCTTCTCTCTACGTCTTCTCCTATTTTAGATTACATAGGGAGCTCTGGTGGCTTAGTGGCAAGAAGTTGTACTGTAATCCCAAAGGCATGTGGTTCAAGGCCACCAGCTGCTCCACAGGAGAAGGATAGGCATTCTCCTCCCTTGTGATTAACTGCCTCTGAAAACCCGCTGGCGGGTCAGCTACGGGTCAGCCCTGACTCTGCAGTGCACAGACAACAACAGGAGTGGAGCATAGTGTGTTATAACCAGATGTTACAAATTGACCAGGAGCTTGTGACAAAGAAGGTCGCTTTGGTGCTGTGGTTGAGAGCTTGCCTGCTAACTAAGATCCAGGGAGCTTAGGTGGCTCTGTGGTAGGGAGTTGCACTGCCAACCTGAAGGCAGACAGTTCAAATCTACCAGCTGCTTTGAGGGAGAAGGATGGACAGTCTCCTCCCATGAAATTTACTGTCTCCGAAAACCCCCTGGAAGGTTAGCTGTGCGTCAGTTCTGACTCAAAGGTATACAACAATAACAACTACCAAGTTCAGCAGTTCGCGACCACCAGCTGTTTCACTGGAACAGTGAGCTTCTTTAAAGATTTACAGCCTTGGAAACCCCGTGGGACAGTTCTTTTCTGTCCTGTTGAGTCACTGCGAGTCATAATCAACTTAATGACAGTGGGTTAGTGAGGAAGAAGAGGTAATGATTGCATGAGGGATTAAGCATTTTCATTTGCACTAAATGATAACAATGAACAAAATGGTTCATGTCCTTGCTCGTTAGCTTCACGACCTTCTCTCTAATGTCTGATGACTGAGCTTTTCTTAAATCTTTTCTAAAGCTGTGTGTGTAGCAGTGGTGTCATAAACGTATAGGGAATGAATTTGGATGCGAAAACACTGGCGGTCTTTTTAGGAGTCATTCCTGGGGTGCTCATTTTCCTGGCTAATAAGTAGTAGAGTGAAAACCAGTGGTTAGGGATAGATTTACCCACTGGTGATCCCAAACTGTTTACCAGCTCTCACTGGCCTGAGACTGGACCAGTCTGAGTGGGGATTCCAGAGAAATAATCAATATCCTTAAAGTCACCTCAAATTTCCCCAGGGCCACCCTAAACCACACAGGGATACAAAGAAGTTAGAAGCAGTAAAAATTATGTAGAACTGTTTAAAAAGAATAGATGATTAGTTATTATTTGCATGACAACAGTTCAGAGTAAGAGCTGCATAGTAAAGTGGGCTGGGGTGGGGGGTAGGGAATTGTACAATAATGAAAGAATTTTTTTTCCAAAGAGAAAAGCGAACTGGGTGTGGGGGTAGGCAGGGAGGAAAATGTGCAACAATGTATGAATGGAAATCCAAGTTATCATTAAACTTTCATTAACATCTCAATTAAAAAAACAAGTAAAAAAAAATTACGTAGACTATACTGAAGTGTCTCTTAGAATCCCAGCCATTTGGACAACACAGTTTCAAATCCAGTTCTTGTTTGTTGCCTTAAGAGACTCTCACCTTTGGTGTTAGAAGTCTTTCAGTCCAGGAGTGCCTACACTAAAAATAGTAAACTTATTTTTTCTCAATGCAGATCCAGTAGGCCCAATGTGGGCAAATGACACTACGCTAAAGAGACCAGTTAGAGACAGAAGAAACTTAGTCCCGTGCTCTCAGCTGATGCTAAATGAGTACATTTCTGGAAGAACCAACAAAGGCAACAGGAGACCCCTTTCCCAGATGGAGCCACATTCAGCTCTGCCCCGTACGTTCCAAAGCACAGATAGTCCTCGAGTATTGAGGGGGTCCATGGGGCCGCCAATAACATCCACTACCATGAGAGGACAAAGAAGGGCCCCATTTAGATTCAGAGATGAAGATTTTTATTCCATCATTTCATCAAACTCTGGAGGAGAAAGTTATGACACTGAAGAGGAAACCCACGTGGAGGAAGAACTTCTGTCGGTGGGTATGCACCCACCACGTTCTCCTTCCATTCATAAGCGAAGTCGATTTCTTGAGACATTGGCCACTCACTCCAAAAATAAAACTTTGGAAGAAGACTCTGAAAATTGCAGAGCTAATTCTTTCAGCAGAAGTGAGCTTAGTCATGGCTCATTAAAGGCAAGCAATGCAGGGCAGCCTGTGACAGAGCAACCTTCTGTTGGGCTAAGGATGTTCCAAGACTCTGGGTTGCATGATGGGGAATCTGTGAAAGAGACTGACAGTGGTGGCAGTGAAAACAAGGCCAAGTCCGTCCATTCGGGGGACATCAAATCTGAGCCCAGCCAAGAGGATGATCTCAATGCTGAAAATGAACCTAAAGATTGTACTTCTGTGGCCAGTAGGCCTCGTACCCATTGTTATGAAAGGGATTGGCAAGACTTTTTAAATAATCCTGGACACTCGTTTAACCGTCTTCCTTCTAGTAGACAAACAGCTTTGAGATCATCAGCGAATTCAGCTTATACCACTCCAGGATCATTAATGTGTTCTGCTGTAAGAGACTTGTCAATGGCGTCATCTTCAATTCACAGTTCGAACTCAGAGGGAAACTCACGATTTCATATTCGTCGACCACTCTCCCCCATTCGAAACAGGCACCTCTTGGCCAGAGCTGAAGACCTCAGTGATTTTCCAGTAAACAATACCCGTGCGTTTTGTGTCAGGGAAGCAGAAGATAATACCTTAACAAGCCAACCTCAAGGGGCTCCATTATCTTCTGGAGATTCTTTACTAAATCCTCAAGGTGTCTTGTCCTCAGAGGATTCTTCCTCTGTATCAGAATCAGAAATGAGCCTGCAAGACCAGCTTCCTGTGCCTGGGCCCCTTCAAGAAAACATAGCTTTGACATTCTTTCCTGTGTCTGCTTTACCAAATCCAAACATTGGTGAGCCTAGAATGGCAGTTTCCCGTTTCCTAGATGAAAAGAAAGACGCTACGATAAAGGCAGACCCTGAAAATCTCAAGAAATTGCAAGAAAGGTAAGGAGTTGTCATTTTTTTTTGAGTTGTCATTTTTATATAAAATATAACTGTTTTCATAAATGGGGATCTCAGGTGGCCTACTGGCGAGGGAGTTGTGCTGCCAGCCCAAAGGCACAGGGTTTGAATCCACCAGCTGCTCTTCCAGAGAAAGATGGGCAACCTAACTCAACAGCAATGAGAGAGCTATTTACAGCCTCTGAAAACCTACTGGAAGGTCAGCTAAGAGTCCCTTCCAACTCAATAGCAAGTGTTGAGTTGAGTCAGTATATTTAAAGGCGGGGCACTGATGGAGTAATCCATGGAGAGTTATATTTTTAAACCTAAATCCATGGCTCTCTGGAGATTCAAAACCACCAGCTGCTCTGCAGGAGAAGAATGGGCAAACCTCTTCTGTGTGGTTCCAACTCCATAGCCAAATCTCCATAAAAGAGAGAGCTTTAGAAATTTATGAATATGAAATATCTTTTAAAATATATTCTCATTTTTATCAGTGCTTTCAACAGAGACTCAAGGGAATTTTAAATCATAAACAGACCCTGTTTGGGAAACCCTGGTAGCATAGTAGTTTAAAAATTCAGTTGCTAACCAGAAGACTGGTGGTTTGAATCCAGCGGCTGATCCAAGGTAGAAAGATGATGCAGTCGGCTTCTGTGAAGATTTATAGTCTTGGAAACCCTGTGAGGCTATGAAATACTGCTGCCCTATCCTGCAGGGTTGCTATGCATTGAACTTGACCCAGTGAGAGTGAGAATGATGGTGGTAATTTGATCTTCTAATAATTTCTTGTTTGGGGAAAATAGTCTCTACTTTGTTGATATTAAAATATCTTACATGTGTTTATACATATATTTGTGTATGCCTCAGTGTTCCTCCTCAATTTCTTAAATACACCCCAAATATTTTTTTCTATAATCCCACAAATTGAAGAAAATCAAGTTTGCTAGGTGAAAGGGTTTCTGACAATTGCATACAGCTTGTTCACCAGCAATTAAGAACCAAGATTTTTTTTTTAACGAAAAGGTTGCTAACTCCCCAAAGCACGAACCATTCAGCACTTGAAGTTCACAGCTCTCCCCCATGAGACTAAGCGCAAATCCAACCAACAGTTCTAGAATTTGAACCTTCCAAACTAAAAGGCCAATCCCTAACAGTTACCATAGTTACCTTGGTTTTCTGAAGGGCTGTTCCAGGGTAACTTCTGCTTCCATTTTCTGTGCTCTTCCTCATGCACGAAAGAAAAAGAAATAAAATCTTTGTTGGGTGTGTTTTTTAATTGCCTTTTTCTTTGCTTTTTCCTTTCTTGTGTGATAATCTGGGGATATTTCACAGCTATGAAACTTGTCACTTTTTAAAGCCATCAGTAAACAGCATGTAAGGGTTCCACTTTTGTGTGTGTGTGCTTAGCATGCACAGATCACAGTTTATCGATCTGGAAATTGATTCTTTGAATACAAGCTCTCTTAATTTATGTTCATATGGTGTATTTATAGCATTGATTTCCATGTTGACATTCGTTTGTACATGAGAAACGTCCATTAATTCAAAATGTGAGTAGGATGGGAGAGAAATATGCATAAAAACTGAACACTCCTCTTATCTTTTATTCAACTCCAATAATTAAGTCATTTTCTAGTTAAAAGTACCTTTAAGAATGTTTGCCCATATTAAACGAGCTACCAGAAGACCAATTAATGGTTTAGGGCCAAATTCCCCATCATTATCTCCCTGCTCCATAACTTATATCCTCAGCCAGCTTTCCAGGAGTCCAGATGTCTATGTACTAATACATGTTGTGGTGGTGGTGTTATTAAGTGCCGTCGAGTTGTAGGTGATGCATAGCGACCCGATGAACAAAAGCCCTAGGCACTTGTCTAACTTTCATCCTTTCTCCAGGTTTATAGGGTTTCCAGAGACAAGTATTTTGGAAGTGGATGCCACTCCTGCTTCCAAGCTTGTTCTAATCTAGTGACGCCTAGAAAAAGAATTTCTTTTAAAATGTGTTCCCTTCTAGGCATGTTAATACATTAACAACTATTATCTGTATACTTCTTTGTTTACCAGACACACTCTTTTGTGTCTATAATCAACTGTATTCTTTTTTTATTATTTCAAACATTTTCATTTTGTTGTTGTTGTTAGATGCCAACACCTAAGGCAACTATGACACACAGCCACCTTTTGGATGAAGATCTGAGCCCTAGCCTGTCCTTATCATCTCTGCCACACTGCAGTCATGGTGTCAGTCCATCTCGTGGTGGGTCTTTCCCTCCTTCACTGACCCTCTACTTTTCCAAGCATTATGTCCTTTTCCAAGGACTGCTCCGCCTTGCAACATGCTCAAAGTATGTAAGATAAAGGTTTACCATCCCTCTCTCAAAGAAGCACCCTGGGTGCACTCTCTCCAAGACATATTTGTTCTCTTGGCATTCCATGAGATAAACAGTACTCTTCTCCAGCACCGCAGCTCAAAGGCATCAATCTTCTTCAGTCATCTTTATTTACTGTCTAACAAAGAAAGTAATTGATGAGACCACAGCTTTGATCAGGCACATCTTAGTCTTTCCATTGACATCCTTGCTTGCCAGCACTTTTGAGAGATCCCTAACTGCAGACTCCCAGTGCAACATGTTGTTTATTGTGTATTTTGTTTTTTGGGGGGTTGTTGTGTTGTTGTTGTTTTTTTTAATTGCTGGTACTAAGGTTGTTGATTATGGATCCAGGTCAGATGAGATGACTGACAGTTTCTATCTTTTCATCATCTATCATGATATTGCCTATTGGGCCCAGTGATAAAGATTTCTGTTTTCTTTTTGCATTTTTATTTCTTTTTTTCACTGTTGCACATTTTCTTCCGTCCCTCCCCTAGCTTCCTCCCCAGTGCATCCTTTTTTGCGATATATGCAATGCCTTATCATATATTGCTTTCAGACAGTTCTTTCCCTCATCTGTTCTAATGCAGTGTCCATTATCCACTCTTCTCCCATTCTCTCCCCAACACCCCATGTCTGTCCTATTTTATAACAGCAGTGTTGTGCAGTATTGGCCCTCCTGTGGCTGAGTTATTTCACTCAGCATAATGTCCTCCAGGCTTCCCCATGTTGTGTGATGTTTTATGAGTTCATTGTTTTTCAGTGCTGTGCAATATTCCATTGTGTGAATGTACCATAAATTTTTCCTGTCTGTTCATTTGTTGATGGGCACTTTGGTTGATTCCATCTCTTTGCTTTTATGAATACTGCAGCAATAAACATGGGAGTGCATAGGATTCATGCTTTCTTGAGGTTGAAATGTTTGTTGTTGTTTGTTATGTGCCATCAAGTTGCTCATGTCTCATAGCGACCCTATGTACAGTAGCTCTGAACCCCACTCTATCCTGTGCCAACCTTATTGTCTCTGAAGTTGAGATGTAGAGAATATTAAAAATGTGAAAATAAAAGAAACATCACCTATAACTTTACTGTCCAGAAACAAGCACTGTTATAAACCTTGTTTCTTTCTTTCTTTGCATATAATTGTCAATATTTGCAAGCATTGGCCCATGTTGTTTCACGATAGGCTTTATTTTAATATTTCAAGTCCATTTCTCAACATCACTTATATTCTTCAAAGAATTTACCTTCATTTAGTTACTTTAGTATGAAATATTCCATGTATTCAAATAAATATGTAGCATGCTCATTTGGTTGATTTTTATTTCTTTTGATTCATGGTGACTCCATGTGTACTGAGTTGAGTCTTCAAAACTGTGACCTTTTGGAAGTAGATTGCCAGGCCTGTCTGCCAAGGCACCTCTAGGTGAGTTTGAACCACCAACCTTTCTGCTAACAGTCAAGCACTTAATGGTTTCTCCACCTGTTACTCTGTAGACACTTTAAAAGAGTGTAAAAAAGAAACTGGACACTCCTACACCCATCCTCTAGCTAAACAGAATATTCCTGATGAGCCCCTTCACCTCTCAGAAATTCTCTGCCAGAAGATCAGCCTGTACATCCTTTCTCATTTCTAGGCTTTGTTTTGGTGGGGTTTTTTTGCTTTATGGCTTTACCATATTCACTTTATTTTCCCCAGAAATAACAGGCCCACATAGATAACCCTGCTAACACATATACTGGGCAGCATAGTTGTGCAGTTGGCTAAAAGTTATAACATGTGCATTAAATACGTTAAAATGTGTGTGTATGCATTCATTAATACTTGTTAACATGTTTATGTTGCATTTTAACATGTGGAGCAGTTTGGTCCTTATGCAAAAACTGGTAATGAATGGAAATGGAGGGTGGTTACATCATATCACTCATTATATCATTATATAACTGCCAGAAAACATCATTACATAACAGCCAAACCAAAGAGTCAACCAGCCAAGTTGATTCAAACCTTCACCGTCACAGACAGTTACTCTCACCTCACATCTCAGCATTTGCCAGGCGTACATCAGAAATAGGCAAAATAGTCAGACAAAAGGTTCTTTTACTATGAGATATCATCTCACCCCAGTCAGAATAGCAAAATTTAACAGAACAGCAAGCAACAAATGCTGGCGAGGTTGTGGAGAAACTGGAACCCT